CCCCCCCCCCCCTTCCCTCCTGGAATTTTTTTTCTTGAAGTACCCTTGTAGACTGCCTAATTTTCGAAAAAGAAAAGCTGAAAAAAGGTAAAAATATTTTTTTTGACAGAGATTTTCCAGCTCCTGAAAGAAGTCGTTCCAATTCATCGGACCTGGGTCCGCCACGATCCCCTTGCCCCCTTTACAAAAACCCCAACAGACCCCTACCACTCCAGATAATTCAAAAGAGCTACTTCCTCGCTGATTTCGAAGTTCGCACTTCACTCCTGATCGTGTTATACCTCCCAGTGGCAGGATAAACTACAACCGAGTAAACTATGTTGGGTGTTGCAGATGGCGTGCCCTTTCAACACATCACGGGTTACGTTTATGGAAACGACGGCGGAAGATGAAGCACAAGCAGGAACCAACAAAGTGGCCCTTGGACAAGGAGTTACCTATGGACAATATTTGCAGGTGAATACATTTTTACTCAGTAGGCAAGGCTTAGGATTCGGAAGTTACTACAAAATCCGTTTTGTACCGAAGGGAAACTTATCAAAATGATTCCCTGGGCAGGCTTTAGAACCTGGAGCTGCACTGTTTGGTTGTCAGGCCAAATAAGATGGAAAATAAAATAATAAGGAATTACCTCGAAGAAATACGAAGCATATAAAGGAGCCATGAAGTCGGATTACTGTCAGAATCTGCAAAAACCGATGCGTGGGGTTCCTGAACACCATTTCTGAGAATCGTAAATATTCTAGAACATACGGTTACCAGTAACGTACCTATGATGACAAGCTGGAATTTAAAACAGCACACACGGGCATCCAGGCAATGACTGGAAGCTATTGATTGATTCCTGGGGGTTCGATGGGAATGGAATTCTGCGCACTCGTTAGATATCGAACAAGTAGATCATGGCCCTTACGTCACCTCCACCGTCGATAAAAATTTCCGTTTTCGTTTCCAAGTTGAGTTTTTTTCAGCTACACAAGTTATTGGACTGTCAGAAGTTGCAGTCAGAAGAGCAAGGACATCGAGTTGATGATGAACATCTTTTCATTATTATCCATCAATGCTATGAACTTTGGTTTAAGCAGATCATCTACGATATCGATACCGTACGTGTCCTACTCAACAACACAGTACGTTGTACGTCATGATATCTTAATTTTTACGTTTTCAAACTATTTATCGTCATTTTCACGATATCTTGGAGCTTACTAGGTGGGAAGGTGCTTTCTCATCTTCCAGAAAAACGGTCGCTAATTGATTCCTCCTACCGTAACTAGCCGAAGATCAAATAATTATTTCTACTAAGTCTCGATAGCCTAATCAAGCTGCCTTATCCTTCGACTCAATCGAGAGCCGATCGATATAATTTTTTAATAGTTTTATACTGTCATTCGGAAAAAAAGTAACCCTTAGGATTAGATACTAGTAGAGCTCAACTTGAACGGAAAATAATCCGGTTACTGTCGAACAGTAGAAGAAACTTACAACATATTAGCCTCTACTCCTTCCCCTCCTCCCCCCCCCCCCCCCCCCCCCCTTTCCTTTAGTCGTTCAGCCCTAAAAATGGGGACAAGAAATAATGAGGGTATGGAAAAGTTGCTGCTCTGAAAAAGAGCTGTTTCCTAAAGGAATGCCGAACCATTTTTCGCTGAGAAAACCCCTCAAGCCCTTAATTTAAAGAGTTTTCAGATTGTGGATGAAACGAAAACTCTTCGAATCGTTTCTGGGCTCGATCGAACTGTACGGATTCTTAAGTTACTAGTGGATCAGATCACTATTCTCGACACTATGAGCCCTCTCGACTTCGTTGACTTCAGGTCAGCTATTTTTTTATAACGGTTAACGGTTTTTTTTTATAACTCCACGATTTTTTTCCACAATAAACCCGCTTTTCTGCTTTCAGAAAGTACCTTACACCTGCCTCAGGATTTCAGTCGCTACAGTTCAGACTTCTGGAAAACAAAATGGGAGTGCGCTGTGATCGACGAATCAAAGTACTTTTTTGACTTCTCAAGTACTCAAAGTCGTACACATAAATTCATCAATCTATACGTAAACAAGAGCAGAGATGGTGTACGGGTAAGGGTTCCATACTCGGATTGTCCGAGGATTGGATCCCGGATCAATCTTGCTGAAGCCATTTTCCGTTCTTTCGGGGGTGGCTAAGTGGCATCAGATTGGTCTGGCGAGGTAAAAGCCACCGCGAGTCATTATATAGCTCATATATGTATTATACGTACGCGTTCAAACTCCATTACAATGCTGAATCGAAGTCGAATGGGCGGCGCATCGCAAAACGGAATCAATCTAAGCTGAAATTTCGCTTCTAACTAAAAAGTATTCAGTGGTCATAGGCATCTCGAAGTTGAAACGTTACCGCTTACCTATGAAGCACATCGAAAATAAGAATTTCACTTCAAATAGATAAGTAAACAAGAAGTTAAAAGTTTTCAAGTTCAGTTTTCAAATGTCTCAAAGAGCAATTTTAATAGAATCTCCAAGCCCCGTTCATTTTGGGGGAGAAGGTGAAATTTCATATGCATGACAAAAACACATTGAACTTCATTCGAAGAAGAGCTGCCGATCTACTGTCTAATTTTGATTTTTAATTATTTATATATTTTTATTATATTATATTTTTATTTCTTTTGGATTTCATTGTTCCATGTAGCGTTCATCAAAATTTCTATGAAATATCTTATATTACCTTTCCAGTACAATGCTCAACACTACAAAAACGTCTTCCTGGATGAAAAAGACGTGAAAGCTGTCGAACAGAGCGAGACGGAACCATCCCTCTTGAAGCTCGTGCAGGTGAGCCTTCCACCTCTTCGACATCCCGTTGATATTACTCGGTTCACAGGACGGTTATCACTTTTCCACTTTTTCAGAACTGGCTGGAGAGGACTCCTGGTATGGAGCGAGCGTCAATTGACGGTGAAGAAGAGGAGGGTTTCTGGCCCAAATATGAACGAGCTGTGAAACGGTACCTGAACGATCTGTATGAGGAAGCAATGGTAAACTTCACAGTACTCTCAACTTGCTATCAAGTACAATGGGAAAAATACACGACAACATTTTTAGAACGAATCTCTCCCACAGAACGTCCATGACCAATTATTGGCCGAGTATCATAAGACGAGAGATTCATTTGCTACAATTCTGGATCCAAAGCAGCACGCACAACAAATCCTCCACGGTATGGTCTCATCTGTTCTGGCTGACATTGCCTACGTATGAGCTGGGTAAAGTCACCTCCAACAAACTGCCAATCTCATTCTCCTTTTCCCGTCCTCTCATTTGAGTAACTTGACCGAACCATAACTTTGTCTATGACTGTGCAAACTCTGTTTCACAGGAATATACTGCTGTTGAAAAGGGTTCAAATCACCAATCCCACTCTAATGAGGGGCTAGATCTCCGGTCTCGCCCTACCTCCAGAGGAAGACAAGCCTACTAGTCGCACGCTGTAGAACCTCAACCGGTCTTTGTTCTTTTTGCTCAGATCTCGTGATCAGGAGAAGGACGATTGAAAAAAAAAGTTCCTACAGACTCTCAATAGGGAGGGTTTATGCTCTACCCTACCGTAGTCCATCCATGGTTCACCACGCAACAATAAGTACTCGGGTATGACTGTTATCCGACAGCTTGTTTACGAAGTTTTGTAAGCCAATAGGACTGTTTTCTGATTTTTTTGATACTCTTGGATTTCATACACTTCGATGGTATTTCTTTTTAAGGCACTCGTCTACTCTCGCATGATGCCATGAAGGGAGCGTTAATGATTTATTTCTACCGGTGAGTTACTTTCATCACTATTACTTTGGTCTATAGCATTTCCCTGAGCTAGTACGAATTTGTACAAAAGTATAATAATTAACTTTTTTTTCGGAGTCGAGCTTTGAAGAGTTGATTGTCATAGATCGGATTGAACTAAAGTGCAACTTTTCAGTGACATGCCACGATTCTCACAGCCTTACCAAATTCTCACCTACCTCATGGACATCGATAGTTTATTTACAAAATGGCGATGTCAGTTCATACCTATTTCACCGTTCTCAATTTCAGGCTCCAAGAAATTTTGCTGTTTTTGCAATTTTTCATAAGAAATTAACTTTACATAGTTCCCAATTCCACTCCTACTTTGGCCTGACAATTCCTTATAATTTAAACTTTCATTCGAGCTCATATTTTATTTATTTTCGGATCCATTTGTCAACATTTTACGTACCTACCTGCTTTGTAAAAACTCAAAAAAAGCAAAAAAAGGGTGAATTTAAATGAATTATTCAACGTTGATGATCTATTTAACATATTTTTTGGTAATTTCAGCATATTTCATCGTTATATTAATATATTACTTTTTTATTTTGTTTAATTGTGCTTACTTATATATGAAGCTGCTGTCCTCAGCTTTTTCTCTAATCAGTACAGATGTTTAGACAATCATGTAATTTTGGTCCAGCGTATGTTGGGAAGCAAGCAAGGAACCGGTGGTAGCTCTGGCTATATGTACTTGAGGAGTACTGTAAGGTACGGTAGCACGTTTTTCTTCTTCTGTGTACTTTCCCAGTATTAGCCACTATTTCAGTGACAAATACAAAGTGTTTCTGGACTTATTCAACCTATCGACATGGCTTATACCTCGTGAATATATTCCATCACTGTCGCCACGAATGGTGAAAACACTCTCGGAACATTCAAACCTCAGTGCATCGATGATATCGTCAGAAAGTGAATAAACTGGTCATGCCTATTCAGACAATTTGAGTTTTCCGAATAAATTTCTATTTCTGTAGAGATAATTCAAGGCAAAAGTTGTCCACTCACCGATGTTCATCATACGTATTATGCACATGAGAAGCATGGCCAAGGACTCATTAGTTTAATAAATCCCACTGGTTCGTGGTATTCTAGTAAAAGCCAATTCGGCAATGGCAGTTGTTAAATTCATGAAGAAAAAAGCAAATGAGAAACATAAGCGGCTTGGTTCACCCCTAAACAAGATAGGGGGATCCTTCAACTCGTCCAAGGCCTTTCCGATGACAACAGCTGAGGTGACAGTCGGTCAGAACTGGAAACAGGTACAGCACTTGGAGCCAATAAGGGATGTAATATTAGGACAAGCCCTATCTCAGCCAGTAGGATGTTCTACAGAATACCAGGCCCATATTTTCCGTGCCGTCGTTTTTGTTTCTTTACAAATTAGTTGTGATTCTGATTTGCTTTGTTAACCTTCGTTCTGGACTTTTCTAGACAGTTGAATCTACAAAAATTGTCAACCGTAGCGATAGACACATGAACCCTTCCGCTTGGAACATTACTTAAAGAAGAGGATAGAAAGAGAAACCTAGAAAGCACAACGCTGTCAATAGGGATGGAAAAATGGAAAATTATGGAAAGTAAAAAGCTCCCAAAATAATTTGGTAGCGGGGTGAGGTGGGGAGATGTTGAAACCACGATGAACAGAAAAATAGTTATAAAAAAAGTTCCATTAAAGGAGTTGATTACTGCATGGAGAGTGATTTCAGCAAAGTAGAGTAAGTGACTTCAGTAGTGACCTTTCCCCTTTTCATGCCTACCAATTAGTAAAAGCCACTGATCCTTTATGACTGAGCAGATGAGCAGACAGCGGACCTCGGTGCTGAAGAAGATGTCCATATACGGTACTGAACGGCTGCTTAGTTTGTGAATAACATCTTTTTGAACACTCCTCATAGTTTAGTTGCACTTTTCGCTTACGTTTAGCCCCATCTTTCCAAAATGATTAAAAGTTTCTGATGGGGCGAAGTGACAAGTGGTACACTACCACACACCCATGGACTGAGGTTCGAATCCCGTGTCGGATCGATATCCGTCTAGGCGAGCCAAGCTCTCACGATTTTTGATGGAAGCCATATGTACAGCGTACCCCAAAAAAGGGTATTGAGTATCGTTAAAATATAACCCTTTACCTGGTCTACAAAAGGTTCCTAGCTCAAGTATTCTACATTAGCTCGTTGCTGAGTTTAAAAATGAGAGACCAGAGGCTTACGCACTTCACCAAGTGAGTTATGTCTCCCGAGTGGAGCATTTATGAGCAGATGCACAGAAATACTTACTCACTACAGGAATTTGTTCAACTATCGCCAAGTTCACGATCACTAGCCAGCGAATAAATTTAGGCGTAGTTTACTGTAGAAGTTGGCGGTACGCAAGACGCTGTCATTCAGACTTTAGATTAATGCTATAGCAGATCTTCTTGCTTTGCTTGCAGCCTTTACTTTTGTTAGGCAAGTTTTTATAATGTGAAAATTTGTTGATTCGAATATTCAGTTGTGGTAGTATGATTTTCCCAGTTGTATGGCCTTTAACTCTGTCTCTAATGAATGAATAAATCTGTGGAATTGTCCATCTGTTATTAATCTTTACCGTGTTTCCGTTGTTAGGTTTTACTGTGTTGGTCTGAAGCCACACTCATGAAGGGAATAGAGTGATAGGTGCCAATAAAATCAAAGTTTGTTGGTTTCGTGGGATTTGCTTGAAAGAATCTTTGTCTACAATTTAAGAAACACATTGCTTCATAACGACTAAGATACTCATGAACACCAACCAAAGTATGCATCTTCTTGTTGAGAAAACTATTCTTATATGCCTCTTACAAAATTGATGCCGCGCTCGTGGTGACTGGCTCGTTGTTCGACTGAAGCCATGCATTCCATAGTCGACCGAAAGGTGAAACCTTGGGAAATTTCTCCTTCGATTGGAATTGCCCCAGCGGAACGACGAAGTAGTCTGCAGCTCTGATTGAGATGCGCAGGGTGAGGCCTCATAGGACGAAGATGGATACTACTTTCTTTCACTTGTTTTTATACTACTAGATACTCGGTGGCATAGCCACTACGCCGGGCATTCTACTGAGCATCTTGTTTCACTGCTGGGTTTTTGTGTTCGTCTGCCCGCTCCCCTTCAAACAGCCTTGTGTTTTCTCTGGCTTGCCTCTATTACTGCTTATACATTCACTAGCGATAATCAGCGAGAATCCCAGTTCGATTGAGTACCCGCGATTATATCCCATATTCTTCATACAAAAATGTGAGTAATACTTCACTTTTCAGGTAGTGGGATGGCTCAATCTGAGAGCTTGCAAAAAGGCCATTTGGCTTCAGTATTTCGCAGTCTGGAGGATTCCTGCTTAGCGTCAGAACGGTTCGTTCACAAAACAGTCGCATGTTTTTTTTTATGTAAGAATATTCTCGCCTTCTATGTATTTGGGATTTTTTGCTTTCCTCGCTCTGTAGAGCTTGGGGTGAGGGGACAAAGGAAAGTAAACCCGAAACTGGCTGCCCCATATCCTATACCCTCCTTAAGCATGTTCGTCCAGCATAGGATTGTCCCGAATTTCCCATTTCAGGGTTCAAGATAGTTCCGCCAAATTAATTGAGCTTGACCTCAGGCGACAAAAGATTCGTGAAGCCTCTCGTTTGCTGAAAAATCCTCGGCAGGTGCGTTCCCTCGTTTTCCTTTATTTATCCTCATTGGATTTGAATAACTTTATGCTGCTTTGGTGGAGTAGCAGTAACCAGTTTTGCTCTCTTGCTGAGTGTTCGAGATTTGTGTCCTCTTACGTTGTTGTAATTGGGCATACGTTAGGCAAATCGGGGACGTCGTAGAAGTGGGAAAATGTTCATGAGTCTGTACTGGCTACTCGCTACTTTGAAACTTTTGTGAAAATAGTGCAGATTTTGTTTGCGCGGTCGAGGTTTGGTTTCGCCAGCCAACGCTTCGAGCTTTATCTATTCCTACGACTTCAAATTGAAGTCGAATGCAAGGTTACCAAAGCAATTTAATGCAATAGTTTTCTCTATATTTTTAGACCTTATCAACCAATCAGTGTTTGCTGCCTGTAAAGTAATTCTTCTAGTAGTTTTTCTACATTGACAGGATTCGACAACGTGGATGGTTCTTACGGAAGACCTCATGATGGAGTTTTCGACACCAGAGAGCATAAAAATGCTTCAAGATTCCATGAGAAAAACTGAAGATGACTACGCTTTGGTGAACAAACAAATCCGAGACGACCTCAATAAAGCTCTGAAAACAAAGTCCTCGAAAGATCTTGATTCCCGAGGTTTCACACTCAAGCCGATTAATAAGTGAAAATACTTGGTTGGATATTACGTTGTTGATCTCATTTTTGGTTTTTGTTTTTGTTGATTAGTCAAAATAAAACTTCTATCAGCAGTCGTGTTTTCTTCAGAGGGATTGATATCCTCACCTGCTTCCCTTCAGTAGCGCATCAGTTTTAGCCAATAATCCAAACTGCAGGGTTTCTTCATGTCAATACAACAAGTATTTATTATAAGTAGAGCAGGAAGTCTAATTTACGATTGGGAAGCCAAAACAGAAATTGTAAGTTGTTAAGGATAATTTCCTCTTTGTTAGAAGTCTTTGCTCCCTCTTTTACAGGTGGAAGTAGAGCGAATCTGTGAGTATCCACTTGATATTATTTTGGAAGAAGTAGATCAAAAAGCAGTGGTAGTTTTTGGAGAGAAAGATGGAGTTAAACTGAGGTAGTGCTCTTTTTGCGATTATAAAGCTCAATGTTTGTGTGTTCGCCTTGTCATTTTGAATTCCCTCGCTTTGTTTAGATATTACGTCACAGGAGTGAATGGATCAAAAGTTTCGGGTACCAAGTTTTACGTTGATGATACAGAGCATAATATTTTCAAGTACTTGGAGGATGAATCCAATTTCCCGGTATGATCAATTCTGTTGCAGACTAGTGACCAATAGTTCGATTTCAGCATATGCATTATGCGAGAAAACTTATTATTTTCAGGTTAGCATTCGGTTCTCACCTCCATCAGTTTCTACAAATGAAAAAATTATACTTTCTTCTATGTTCCATTCATTGTATACGATTGCTGTGCAGTTAAGTCCAGCGGCTAGAAGCTCTGGAATTGAGGTTTGTTAGGGCGCAAACTTATATTTGACATCAAATAGTCTTATATTTTTGAAATTTTCATCAACTTTTGTATCGACAAAATCGTCGATAAGGAATAGTTGATTACGTTTGCAGGTTATGGAAACGACACAATTTCGGCTGTCGTGTTTACAAAGCAGAACAGGTCTGAATAACGTTTTGGTCCTATTTTTACGTATGTTGCGCTATATCATGCCAGCATTTCTCTGTTATTGCATTTCAGGAGTAAAATTCGTTGTGGTAACGTCGCCCACAGCAGCTATTCCCATTGAATCTCTCCTTAACAAGCTCTATGAACTTTATGCTGATTACGCCTTGAAAAACCCCTTTTATGCTATTGATATGCCTATCAGGTCAGCTTCCTTTTACTGCTTTGAAAATAATTCAGTTTGAAGAAGTGCTCATACCTCTACCAAGCGATTAGCAGACGTTTGATGCTTCAGGTGTTCGAAGTTCGAAGAAGCTCTTAAATCGCTTTTGGAACGTTTAGATAAGAACTCAACATCGGTCATGATCTAGTCTTTGCTGTGATAATGGAGTTGTTAATCATTATTTGTGTGAGAGTTATTCATGGGTTTCTCGCACGTAACTGTGCAGAATTTCTTCATTTTTATATTACCGAAAATATGAATAAACCGTATTTATTTCTGTTTTGTCTGCTTTGTGCGGTTTCTCTACCTATATTTTCAAATCTGCTATTATTGTTGCATTTCCTGAACCTTCAGTGACCGTCAATGTTTTGTTTAGATGGCAGTTGATACAACTTTTGCATTCCTATCCAAAATCCCGGACCAATGTGGTTATTTGGTAATTTCCGATGGAGCTATTGTGAAGGTATGGCACTTTCATATTTTTTTTTGCTTATCAGAACGATTTTCGTGACGTCCTGCAATGAATGGTCGTCGATTGTACATTTATTATTCTATCATTTCGTGGGGTAACTGGATGTTAGGGCGGTAGTTACGTTTGGTGCTGCCACTTTGCAGAGCAAGGTGGGTTTTTTTCCGCAGGATGTAGGTCCACTGGAAAGGCATCGACCATATACTTCCGTTTTGATTCTGGTTATGTGGTTAAGTTGCAATTTTCTTTGCATCACTGCACAGTAATCAGTGCATCACTGCATTTTGTTGAAATCTTTGCATTCCAACGTACCCTAATACTGCAAAGCGTGCATCATTTCCCGTGAGTTTTGGATCCGACAGATACAGTCCGTTGCTCTAACCATCTTCCCAACAGGAACTTCGCGTAATCTTTTGATTTTCCAGGCGGGTTCATGTTTTTCACCCCCAATTCTGACCTTTGTTTAATCTTATTGTTGGGTGTACTACTGAAAATAGGGTTTCTTGGACCGTGCACTCCGCTTTGTTGTTTGTTGCTCTCTGCAGACCTGACAATCTCTATTTGCAAGGATGTTACGTCAATACAGTTTTTCTATGGCTATTCGTAAGATGGCTAACGATGTGAATTTTCATCTTATGAGGAGGAATGATTTGTCCTTTTTTCACTAGAAGCTGGAATAGCTTGCAATTATAAAGATGCCGCGTAACAGGAGTTACCTATTGTTTATTTTCAGTGAAGCGTAGAAAGAGTGCAGATCCTTTTTAGACAAAATGTACATCTCAAACATGAGTGACTAAGGAACGGTGCAATAGAAGCAGCCTGTTCAGATATGGTATTTAGGCTTTTATACTTACTGAGATGTCTGAGGTCCAGCGCAGGTCGTATTCTGCATGGATCTAAAAGAAACGGACAGTTCCGAACCCGATGTTCGAGTAACTACATTGATTTTCACAGAAGATATCTGCATTTGATCAATGAGCAGGGAGATGGTTTTGGGGGTCAATTTGTGTACATTAATCCTTGAAATGCAGCACTATGACTCTATCCGGTTTCCGCGCTCTGTTTTTGTCCTTATCTCTTCGCATTGCCATTGCTTTTTATCAGTATTCAATTCAGGCCGCATATAATGTAATGTAAAGGTGAACCGTATACATTCATCCAAAGAAATCTGTAATTTTGACCAGTCAGACTGTATGAACTTTTAAGACATTTTTTTGAAAAGTTTTGGCGATTCTCTACTTTTTCCGAGAGAAAAAGTGTTTATCAATCGATTTGGTTTGGTTGCAGTCTGATGGAGAACTGAGCAATCGAGAAGCAACAATGGCAATTGTAGAGAAGATCTTAAGCAACACAAACTCAGGTGCACTGCCGAGCTCAAAATTTTATCAAATCACAGTATCCTATACTGACCACTTTTATACGATCATTGAAAGTGGCAGATACACGTTTGTTGTTAAACGAAAACTCCATGCGTAATTACTTGTATATAAAGTAATTTAAATGGTGTAATAGTTTTATCTTAGATAATGTTTCATTTGTACATTTTGTCATATTTTTCCTTGAGGAACATTTTAACATGCAATAGCAGAACAGATTATCTTTCCATGTGCTGGGCGAGTAATTACTGTGATTTCGATTTGTTAATTGAGTAAATGTAAATTGCGATAAATTTTGGATGGAAGTCATACGTCTATGAAAGATCAACTGACACCACTGAGGTTCCAGTCCAGGATCATATTGGAATTTTAGACCTTTACTCGATATTCTTGGACAATAGTTCACAGAGATAGGGGTACTAGTCAGTGCTCAATTCTATGCTTCACTCACCCGAAGACTGTATTATAATGTACGCACCTGACTGTCTAGTTATTGCTAATTTGTTTGTTTGTTCACTTCTTAATTCATTCTGCACTCAAGGGTCTGCCCGAATGACGTAAGTACAAAAGCCGATCAAGAGCCACTGAACTATTTTGAAAATTCCGATGCGCCTTTCTCGATCATACTTGAACTTTAATAAATTTACGACTTCCGGTCATTCTTTTCAACGAGGATCACAAACATATTTCTTCTTTGTATAGTCTGAGTATTATTGAGGAGTTACAAAAGTGGATTGAAAAGGCTTCCTGCCAACATCTTTGATCTAGTTCTAAGGCATTAGATTATTTTGAAGTTAACAGCGGTCTTAAAGCCCATAGAGAGAGCCGGAATTGTGGGAGGTGTAGTTTGGACGGAATTGTATCTACCGATCTGCATTTGGTTGCTACGGCATTGCCGCCGCCATTAGTCTCCTCAGTGAAACAAAACAATCTAACTGAAGAATTTGAAAATTTTCGCAAGATATGTAATTTAGAGGACAGAAACACCATTGCAGTGGCTGTTTGCAGTTCACCGTTTTCGCTTGGCCTCTGCTGGTGAAGTGGAAAAAATGTGTCGACAATTGGCTGTCAATATCTCGCGTCACCACAGCTGACACCTCGGTAGAACTGCCGTTCTTTTGTGCTGCTGGAAATGCTCTGAGAACATCCTCATCTGATAGGTGTTAATTTATCCACCCCATGTGGTCAAAAGCCCTAGCCATTAGAATGATCTGGGTGGTCGTGTTGTCTGTGTCTCTTGCGTTCCGATCAATCGATGGACAGGCGGACTCTCTTGATACGTGCCCGTCCGTCGGTTGCAGTGTTACCCATACAATGGCAGAGGTCGGCGGCTCCTTCAAAGACTCCCTCACCCAGGTATTACATCTTTCTTACACTTTTTTGTAAAGTTTGCATGAGTTTGTTATAAACCATAGTATTTCAGGCGCAGAAGGATGAATTGAGTGCGATTGCCCACAAGATCGTTGCTGATGGCAAAGGAATTCTGGCCGCTGATGAATCTACTGGTACGCGAGAAACTCCTAGACGCTCTTACCATAAGCGAATGCTTTGGGAAATTCTCCGTACTAGGGCTCAAGCAGTCAAAGTGATCAGGGACTAGGTTTCCCCCTATATGGAAGGTTGCTATAGTCCCCTGCAAAATGCCCTCCTCTCGTGAATCTTTGCTCTCTCTGTTTTTCCTCTCCTAAGGTTCGGAATGAGGAAATGAGTCACTGGAGTGAGAACATTACAACTGGACTGCAAGAGCGCGTATGTTGTTCGGTCTAAGAGAGTGATGAGATTTCACAAGTTCTTTATGAGACGTTTTCAAGCCGTCGCTCTCGGTTATAGGCGCTTATTTTTGCTTCTTTCCCAATGATAAAGATAACCGATGCCGTTGGGGACAGTTCATATAGTAGATGGCAGCATGTTGCATAAGATGGCTATTAAACAATAGAAGTTCAGCGCTGATGGGGAAATGGCCTCGGCAGCAAATCGGCGAAGGGCAGCGGCCAGTTAATCGTTTTTGTAATCGCTGCGCTGATATGACGATTAAGCAACTGCACTTTTTCGCTTAGTAGCTTGTTTTTTCCTTGAAGGGTCTACTTTCCCCACTTATTTTTAAATTGTTCCCATGGGCTCTTCTATTCAGAATCGTTGATGCGTTAAATTGCGTATTAGGCCGATGCACTGTCTGGTGAGGGCTAGCAAAAGTTAAGGAGTGCCACCTTTCTTTTCCCGATTAGTTCATCACCCTTAAATGGCTTTATCTGTCAGGGAAGAATGGGAGATTTGATTTGCCATGTGTTTCGAACAGTGNTGAAAACTGCCTCAGGAATACATATAAGGTCTGTAACCAACTCTGCTCCTTCCTTTAGGTACAATCGGAAAACGCCTGTCTGCCATCAATCTAGAGAATAATGAGACTAACCGACAAAAATATAGGTAAATTGTAACTGCAATGTTCTGGATGCTTCGCTAAATTTAGGGGATGTTTTCAGGCAATTGCTCTTCACCACACCAAATCTTGGCGAACATATCTCTGGAGTAATCCTTTTCGAGGAAACGTTCCATCAGGTACTTTCTACTCCTTCTTGCCATCTCTTCTTACAGAACTTACGGCAATTTATAACCACGTGGCACTCCGCGTGATGCTGAGAGAAAAAAATTGTTTTGTTTACATTGCGCTTTGTTATGCCAGCGTCGCCGCGTACCAGCAATCGAACTGGACACTTTTATAGCTGTTTACGATATTGATATCATGAAGAGGAATGTGCCCAAACTACGAAGTATTGCGCACAAGGGCACGATTGATCACCGATTCCGTGACAGTAGCCGTATCGAAGATTTGTTTTTGTTGCTGTCAGATGTTCAATGTGATCGCTTTACGCGATCCTTTGAAAGAAGTCACGCAATGATGGCGTGAACATGCACACCGATAGTTTTAAAGGTCAAACAACCATAAAGAATTTCGCAGCGTCATCAATTTAGAGGAATTCATGCAATAATTCTTGTTTGCCGCCGAAGTAATGGAATGGTAGTGCATTTGTCAGGAGAACGATCCATAAATATAAGGTTTATTTGTTTGTTATCCTAACAGGAGTACACAAACGGGGCTGTTGCAATATATACCACCTCTGTTGTGCAAATTAGAGGGATTTTATCGTCCCGTGGGTGTGTGACACCGTAACCCCCTAGCGCCCCACCACTCCCCCCGTGGGCTTCACCCGGGGTACCTTTCNGCTTCACCCGGGGTACCTTTCCTTTGCGTCGTATATGCGACCGGTGTTTTGGAGGCGCTTCAGCGTGTGTTTGGGTTACTGTGTCACACATTCACGGGACGATTAAATCCGTCTTGTGTTGTGCAAGTCCTGAACCAAGTATTCGCAAGTCAGCCCTGCTGTCATAAGTAGAGTGTTCAGTCACCTTGGTCTTTGAATATTTATTTTGAGAATAAACGTGTTGCTGTTTGATCTTAGGTTGTTGCTCTTGGTCTCCTTTTTTTAGTGATGTAATGTTTCAAAGGAAATGCGTTTTTTCTCAGATGAATGCTGTTATTTTGTTTTTTAGTCAACTGACAAAGGAGAGAAGTTCGTCGATCTGCTGAAAAAACAGGGAGTCATCCCAGGAATCAAAGTAGATCTTGGTGTCGTCCCACTAGCTGGAACCATTGGGGAAACAACCACTCAGGGTCTCGATAACCTTGCTCAGAGAGCTGCTGTGTTCAAAAAGGTATGCGCTATTCTTTATGATTAAAGCTCAGTGCTACGATAACATTTTGTAAGATTTATCTTCTGTAGGGAGGATGTGGTTTCGCAAAATGGCGTTGTGTCTTGAACATTGGACCTCATACTCCTTCACATTTGGCAATGTTGGAAAATGCCAACGTCTTGGCAAGGTTTGCTAATATTCTTACAGCTTCGCTTCCTCATAGTTTCTTGCTTTAGAGAAGACCTTTTTCAGGTATGCATCGATTTGCCAGGCTAATGGTCTCGTTCCCATCGTTGAGCCTGAAGTCCTTTGTGACGGTGACCATGACATTCACCGTGCCCAAAAGGTCTGTTTGTCTATGGTTTTCAGGGAAAAAGTAGTGAACCTTGTTGATAGATTGGAAGAGTCTCTTACAATACTCCTAATTGTCTTTTTGTTTACATAAAATTTTGTTTTAGGTCACTGAGCAGGTCTTGGCCTACACCTACAAGGCTCTGGCTGATCATCATGTGTACCTCGAAGGTACCCTGTTGAAGCCCAACATGGTCACACCAGGTCAATCATGCCCGCACAAGGTGAGTGCTCTTAAAAATGGATTTTTTCAAAGAGTTTGGAAGTGGATTCTTTGTCTTTCTCAGGTCAGTCATGAAGAAATCGGTTTGGCTACAGTCACCGCCCTTCGCCGCACAGTCCCAGCTGCTGTACCCGGCATCACGTTCCTTTCAGGCGGACAGTCTGAATTGGACGCAACCGCTAATCTACATGCTATCAACAATGTTGGTTTCCAGGAATCATCATGTAGTGATTCTCTCATTAACCGGATGCATATTTAGGCTAAACTTCTGAAGCCGTGGAAGCTGAGCTTCTCATACGGTCGTGCTCTACAAGCTTCAGTTCTGAAGGCATGGCAGGGCAAGGATGAAAACGTTCAGGCCGCCCAGAGAGTCTTCCTGCATAGGGCTAAGGTAAGATCATATAATCTTTTTCAAGAATAACGATAACACCTACAAAGTATCCGTCTGTGAAGTGAAATTATAATTCTTCAGGCTAACGGTATGGCTGCTATGGGAAAGTATGAAGGTGAAGATGCTGCTGGCGCTGCTGCGGAGTCTCTATTCGTTGCTAAACACGCCTATTGATCAGATACNCATATTCAAGAATACGGATGGTGCATACAAAGTGTCCGTCTGTGAATGTGGAATTGTAATTTTTCAGGCCAACGGCATGGCTGCCATGGGAAAGTATGAAGGTGAAGATGCTGCTGGCGCTGCTGCGGAGTCTCTATTCGTTGCTAAACACGCCTATTGATCAGATACCAAGGGTTGTCGATCGCCTATTCCCATTAATTTTGGTGACTACGCGTAGTTTGTATTATCCATTAAGTATAATGCATCCCAGTTGCCTTAAATGGCTAGTCGCAGATAATTACTGTTGTTATGTTTTATCAGATTGGTTACTTTAGTGATAAATATATGTTAATAAAGATTTATGTCCATAGATGTGTATAATCACAAGCGTAGTCGCGCCAGTCAGTACTGTATGACACTCTAAATAGAGATCAGTAGCAAGTCCCATGTGCCTTTCAGAGTGGCAATTCAAGTGCCTAACTTTGCGTTCGAAGTTTCATTTGTTATTGGATGACCTCGGCTAGTGACACTTGTGACGAGGTGGCTGATGCTCGGGAACGGTATCTTCGTTTCTTCGCAAATGCTGCAGGGAGCAATGTTGGTTTCTTTTTGTTGCTCGGATATGGTATCTTATATGTGCCGCATACATAGTTTGGGTATCTACGTATGATTAGTCATAGAAACTACAATACTTATTCCCAGCAGAGTCTGAGGTTCCTTGCACTTTTGTGTGTAGTTTTTTTTTTGTTCAACCGTTCGGAACTGATACACCTATTTGTCTGGCCCGTTTTGGCAACAGTTACCCTACCAGATTTTTTTTACTCATACGATTGATTGCCATCTTCGGGTCTTGTTAATGCTAAACTTAGGATGCAATCAATTACCTTTTCTCCTTGAATATTCTTCTTGATCTAGAAAAAGTCATGGTAATTCAGGTGACCGTAGCGATGCACGAAAAAACAAGTGTGACCGGTGTATTAGTGGCAATGAAAGGCGATGGTAGCCATTTTCTTGTCGATCAACTCAAAACCCCCATTGGAGTGATGGATAGTGCTGTATTGAGGTTTGCCATTTATCAAGTTTCTTTTTATTTCGACCTAATTCAACCTAAGAAAGATGGGTCGCTCAAAGATACCCATTCTCCCAACCTCCTTTATTTTTCTCTAGTTTGTTTTGTTTTTTGTCCATTTTTTCATTTTTCATAACTAACTCTTAACTTGATTTAATTGGTGATTATCAGTAGCCTACTACTATTTGTGAGTCGAGCTCCTTGATCGTTATCTTTAATTTGACCGATTCGAATAGTTTTTCGATCCAGAAGGTTCTTATTTGAACAGCTGGCAGAATTTCATTAAGAACAATGAAAGGGGCAAAATTTCAATTCAATGAGTCACACGAAGTTGGGAGATGACTATTAATCAGGAAATTGCTGGAATTCAATGAAGTATCCAAAAAATTCTTGCCTGATCGATGATTCTACTTTGACCGTTCAAAAATTTCGTCTATTTCTCCTCATCAATACAACAATCTACTTCCAATCTCATTGGTACTACAGTCCTCATAAGGCTGGGGTCCGCTCGTTGTTAGATCATGGAAAAGCAGGCTTTCTTGGGCTTAAGTCTAGATTTACACACCTTCCGAAAAACCAAATGAAATGCTTTATCTTCATATTCGAGTTGCCAAATGCTTGAGTCGTTTCAGAACAGCGGACACTATCATGATGATCATGGACTGGAATGATGTAAATCGACACAAATAATGTCTCAATTCTCGATCTCATGTGGAATATCCAATTATTAATGAAAGTTTTTATCAGTATACTTGTAATAAATTCGATAAGAATGAAATGCCCAAAAGCTATAAGAGAGATCCCTTAGAAGTACGGCAAGAGGCGAATAGTCTAGAAATCAAACATTGAGCAAAGAAACCCGATATCATCGTTAGAGTGCTTAGATATAAACAAAATGACAAAGTAACACGGGTGGGCGAAGCGCTGATAAGCAGTTGGTACTGAATGTCAACGGCTGTATTCGAACTATGTAATGATATCTCTGGTAGCAGCCGATGACGGAACGCAACGCCAGGTCGAATTTTCCACTCGCTCCATTGCTCTGAAAAGCAAAATGGTAGGCCTTTATTAGGTAATGACATTTTAAAGTAAAGAGAGCAGAAGGACACATTTTGAACACCACCAGAATCCAAGCACATTAAAAGTCCTGGCCTCCGAGGCTCCAGAGCATAGTGTTGTTTTATGTGGCCATCCGAGATTAGAGGTTGCTCTTTTCAGGTGAGGACAGGGTGGGTGACAGATGAGGGAAGTGGAGCAACATGAGAAACTCATAGTTTGACTTCACGACAGAAGTCGGGAAGGAACGAAGGAAAATGGATGGCCAAGCCGTGTATGAGGCAACGGAGAACCAATCCCACTCTAAGAGCCATTTCTGATAAACGATTTTCACCAAAAAAGCTCGTATCTTACTCGGTGAAGAGGAATGTAGTCCCAAATGAGACGAGGACTGAAGTTTGTAGACAGCCGTTGAAGGCTGAGCATATGGTTGGGGGGTGTTTCCCGCACAAAACTCATGCATCCCATGTATCACCTGACAGAACGATATCGACATAGCAGGAAGTGTTGCTGAAACTGTCGGCAAGAATTTGAGCTATCTGTTCCCGAACTTTCTTTCGTGGGAACTCTACCGAAAATGAATGCCGTTGAGGCATCGTTTCAATATTTCCTTTCTTCAACCCTCCGCCATTAAAAGAACCCGTTGTTTGCCTTGAACGATACTACTAAACTGTAGACTGTGCTGAGTTTTTGTTTATAAGCTCTTAAAGACCCACGCTGAGTAAGAGGCACTGCAGTTGGAGAGGATTCATTGACCTGCATGGTAGTGAGTGAGCGACCATCGCTATTCAGTGAACACCATGAACGGAATCGAATATTGGTGGGTCCTAAAGAAGGTGCTAGTGATATTAACCACAAAAATGTTGCTCAAGATGAGTAATGGTTTAAGAATATATTAAAAAGCTCGCCTTCTCAAAGATCAGGTCTTTTGGATTTTTGCCATACTAACTCATTATTTAGGCACTTCAGTGATATATTTCTTTAACGATGTGGTTTTGTCCGGATTCCAGATCAATTTCCCCTTTTGCTCTTGGTGATAATAATCGGAGTTGGCATAGTGCCAATAGGGACTACCTTAGCTCTGATGGTGAGATCAAAATTTCAGATGATACCCGCCCAGATCACTGAGCTTCTGAAGTTGGTTTAGTACCAGCCCAGTCTGGGAGGATTGAAGCACTACGTGCACATCAGCTGGTCCCTGTAAGCCGACGTATGGAAACAGACCAAATCTTTTGCCAAAAACTTTCTTTTTGGAGTTTTTATGATATTTTCGACAGAATGGCCTACTTACCTCGTACCCATTCGCTCCAATCACTCCACCATTTCTCCGTGACACACGGTCGTTCACAAACAATATAGTTCACGTCACATCCGGAGCATGCTAGGCCAATGCNGGTCCCTATAAGGAAGTGTATGCAAACAGACCATTTTTTTGCCAAAAACTTTCGTTTTGGAATTGTTATGATTTCTTTCGACGGAATGGTCTACTTACCTCGTACCCATTCGCTCCAATCGCTCCACCATTTCTCCGTGACACACGGTCGTTCACAAACACTATAGTTCACGTCACATCCGGAGCATGCTAGGCCAATGCAGTGCCGTTTCCTGCAATATTTATTTCATTTATCTGGGAAACCTCGCTATTCGAGATATCTCCCAGTTCATAAAAGAAGGATTGATCCCTACGAGCAGGTCATTTGCTAGTTCTTTCGTTCTTTTGCCCTTTTCACCTTGTAATTTTTTTGTGCTCAGTTCTGACTGTCCCACTCGCTCTCACGAGGAAGCCATGGAGAAAATATAGCAGTATAGGATATAAACAAATAAATAAATAATGGAAGATCAGTGTAGCCGATTTGGCTGTAACAATAAGCATTTATCGTGCTAATGTGCTAGGGTATCAAATATCTACTAAAGTTATCAACCAATAACTATTAGGGACACCCAAGAACTGGGCTCCTCCTGAGTGGTTTGGTCCAAGATTACTCTCATGATGGTTTTTATCTAACCAATGTGAACGAACCTTTGACGTTGATTAGCCGGGCATGAACACATTCCCCACTCGTTCCAATCACTCCATGAGCCCCACAGATACTCTGGTAGACTCTTACTCGCAGGAGCTGACGGCCTGTGAGTTGATCGCTGTCGTGTTTGATTGCACTTTCGTGTCTGTAGCTTTTCTCCTAAGCAATCTGTATCTGCAAAAAAGTTTCTGAAATCACTGCGATACTTCGAAATTTGCACTGGTAAACAAGACTTTGGGTCGAATTAAGTTGTGCTCAAGATAATGAAAATATTCAAGTTTCCCTTTTGAAGATTATGAATATAGACAAGTTCATGAATCCATTTTGCTTTTTTTGAATCATTCAGATAGAAATCTTAATGATGAATGTATGTTAATGAGTACAATGTTTGTAAAATCCTACTTTATATAATTCGCTAAGTGTGTCTGTTGGTGTGTCGGTGTGTTTGTGTGTGTGTTTGTTTGTGTGTGTGTGTGTCGGTGTGTGTGTCTGACCGGAAATTCATAACTCCTGTCCCCGTGGACCTAGAGCGTTCAAATTTGATAGGAGTAAGGGGGGCAGGATGGGAACACCTATGGTAGGTGGCAGGACCGGACTCCGTTCACAGGGGGCGCGGCGTGCGCGTTAGAAATTTTGGTCCGCAAATTCATAACTCCTGTTCCCGTTGACCTAGAAAGCTCAAATTTGGCAGGAGTACAGGGGGCAGCATGGGGACACTTATGACAGGTGGTAGGAGCAGACTCCACCCACAGGGAGCAGGTTGTGCGCGATAGAAATTGTGGGCAGCCAATTCATAACTCCTGTTTACGTGGACCTA